AACAAGAGAAATAAACTCGGAATTCTGAACACATTTTCCAAGATAATGAACAACATAACAAAGAAGATAATTAAAACAAGAAATAAAATTATCTAGATGTTGCTAAAGATCATCAAAGAGAATGTAAAGAAGGTAAGTATTTTATAAAAAGAAAAAAGGTGAAGTTAACCAACATTTCTATAGACCTTTCATATGGGCCTGAAAGGAGACTGACAATGACAATGGTCAATATGTTCCAGAGAACACTACTTAGCGCAGGACCATGATCGGATGCATCCTGGAAGCAAATCCAAAAATCTGACCAAAAATAAAGATCTCCTGGTTTTCAAGCAGAAAAAAAGGATTATAACTAGGTAAACTTCAAAAAAAAAAGAAAAAAGACTTTCCTTCTGTGGTATCATGAGCTAGGGAAAACTCCAGAAAAAAAAAGTTTCCAGAGTAAAAGAAAAAAACTTGTAATGCAAAGCTATATCAAACCGAGTTCTTGTGGTGGTCTGAAGGCAACAATCTCTTTCAGATATGCAAGATTCCAGAAAATTTACAATGCTTTCATAGAGATGCATAACCAAGTCTCCAAAGGACTGGGGGTGAGATGAGATTGGACTTTACAGGGGAAAAAACCTTTTTTTTCCCAAAGAAAAAGTGACGTAGTTTACAGTCTGGGTTAACTTACGACATAGAAAAGGGAGCAAAACTACAAGGAAAAGTTCTAATTTCTTCATTTTCAACGGGAGGGGAAAATTGTATTTTCAACATTTATAACTTAATATTCATAAAATAAGAGTCTGAATTGCAACTCATTGCAGGAAATAAAAGGAATGGAAAAACAAGGGAAATTAACAGAACAAGTTTGTCTTAAAACAGCCAAGCATTTCAATTACAACCATTAATCTAAATACTTGACTATTAAACCATTCAAAAGGTATAGTTAAAATGACACAGAAGGATCCAAAATAAAAAGATGTGAAAAGATCACATTCAACTGCTAAACTAAAACCCAAATGGCCATATTGTCAGGCAAAGCAAAATATCTGGTTCCTCCTTCCCCTCCCCAAAAGACATTACACAGAATAAAGTTAGTTTTACACTGATAAAAAGCACAATATATCAACACAAGCCTGACCGACTTGCTAAACAACCAGGACAAAATAATATTCTTTAAAAAAAAATGCGAAGAGAAACTGATACGAGAAATTACAGCAGTTAATTTTACCTACATCCTAATACGTTGTTGAACCAACTAGTCAAATAAAGAAAAAGAACTTCATCTAAGTAAATTAAATTAATAAACAAATACTACACTTTAAAGTCACTATTTTGTTTTTAAAAGTCACTATTTCAAGCATCTAAATATATGTCATAAAGGAAACTTCACTGCCTAAAGTATCTGATTAAATTCGATTAAAGTAGAAATTAGAGTGTTTAAGCACAACCAAAAAAAAGATAAAATCATTACGTCAGATGTACCTAGATATAAAGTTGCCAATACAACAAATGAGAGCAGTGCAGCCAGGCTATAATCAAAGGTAAACTAAACACCTTAATATCTTAAATATCCTTTTGTTCCTTAGGAAAGTAAAGAAAACGAATTACGAATTCAACTTCCTATTTCAGAAAAATAAAAAGAAAAGCAGAGGCGAGGTAGCGGAGCTAAGAGTATAAACGTACAATTCCGCAGGTTTTCTCTTCAGACCAAAGCTCAAGCGCAGAGAGAACAGGCGAAAGCGCCCGTCCAGCAGCCAGGAAGGAGCGCAAGCGCTCAGGGGCCGCAGCCGGACCCTCCCCAGCCCTCAGGCCCCGCCTCCCCCGGCGACCACACCTGAGAGCAGTTGCCCCGAGGCGCTCGGTTCCCGGGGCAGGCGGCCCCTCCCCTCCGACCCCACCCTCGGGCGGCGGCGGGACCCAGCTCAGCCCAACGCCCTAGAACCAGGTGCGCACCGCCAGTTCCAGGTGCCGGTGCTCACCGGGGGCCGGGGTGAGGCGCAGCTGTTGGGCCTCCTCCCAGCCCCTCACCCACATCCCATCCCCGGGAACCTGCCAGCAGGATCTCCCCTCCTTTCCAGGACCCTCTGAGGACAGCAAATTCCTCCACCACCCAACCCACCACCGGCCAGCGCCTCCCTCCCGCAGACTGCTCTCGGAAGAAGCCTTGAGCCCAGCAGCCGGGTCCCCTCTTGGAGACTGTACAGCGGTGCCTAGGAAACCAACTGACCTACCATCTTGCCACCCTGTTCCACCCCATCCCTCCTGAAGGCCGCCCCACTAGCAGGGGAAAATGCCGAGAACACGACAAACAGGGCCACAAACGGGACAGAGGTAACGGGAGCACGTTTCTGTGCCAAAGGGAGGACAATCTGAGGATGCAGGAGACCACAGGCATACTCTTGGCAGGCTGTTTTCTGAAAACCTGGACTTTTTCATAGAAATGCTAACTTAAAAAAATTAATATAATATATAAAGTGCAAAAGACTTAATATAAAATTTAACTGCATTTAGCATTTGTATTTATTATTATGTTTGTCCCATGTGCTGTCAAAGATGAAAGGTGTGGGATTTTCCATAGTAAAATGGAGTAAAAATAATGATGGCTAGATGGCACCGGGATGCGCCCCGCAGCAGTGAGCAGCAGCATCCACAGAGCAAGGGGATTCTTCCTACACATCAACTGACAACAGAAACTGCAAAGAGCACACTGGTAACTTACAAAGTATTTCTAAGACAAAATTGGACTGATACCCCATTTTCTACATATTTCAGTTGTGCCATTACGATACATCTGTGAACAAAAAGCTTTATAGAATTTGAGTGGCACTTTATTACATCTAACATTCAAGAAATTGCTTGTTGGCACATTAAGGTCTGATTACTCTGAACTAGTAAACACAGTTGTGGCATTATCAAATTATTTTTATACAGATACTTATACAAAAGGCATTCTCTGTATGAACATTTTTAAAGCCAAAGAAAAAGGTTATGCACTGAACTTGACCTGAGAAAATATCTTTCTATTAAAACCAGGTCTCGGCAATTTAATTTCAAAGCAAAATTATTTGTTTGATTAAATTAATACTTAAATTCTAAGTTCTATTTATTTTATTTTTTAAAAGCCACTGTAATTACTGTAGATAAAAGAAGTTTATGCCTAGCTTCATGTCTATTCTAGGAAACTGAGATTATAATAATTAAGCCCCCTCTGCCTGGGAGGCGTGCAGAGATGGCTTATGGATCTACAGCCTTTAGTTCTGTAGGGTCTACATCCTAGTATGAAGTGAAAAGTAGATTAAGAAATATTCCTTAATTAGTCTCGGAAGAAAAGCACTGTTAAGTAAGAACAGTATGATAGCACAGAGAGCATAATATATTGGATAAAACATTACATTGTAAGACAAGAAGCCTGAATTTTAGTCTCTATTCTGCTTCTACAAATTAGTCACCTTGGGCAATTCACTTAATCACTAGTCCCTCACCAGTTCTTAATCTAGAATTTATTAGTTTACCTGAATAGATTTCAAAGGAAGCAAATTAACTACTTTTACAATTGATTCATCCTACAGAATATTCAAGGAAAAATCCACAGTAAACATTGTTTGTAAATATCTTCCTAACAGGAAAAAAAATTAGTTTTATTCAGCCAGTTGGGAATTAAAGGAGTTAATAGAAAGAGTTATTCTTAATTTTACTTTCACTTTAAGAATTTAAATATTTTATGCTTCCATGGACAAATAATTGAAAATTGGTTGTTGTTTACCTGGTACTATACTAACTCTGCCCAGGAGGTAGAGTTGTCAGCAAACCTACAGGGTTTAGAGATACAGATGACAGAGCCTCAATAAATTCCTCAGGAAGCCTGGAGAAACCAGAATGGAACACCTCAGGGTCTTAAAAGATGCAAATACCAAAATGGATGGAAAGGGGGAGAATCACTGACTACAAGAACATCCAGAAAAAATTTAAAATAACTGAAAATACATCTTAAAAGTATCTCACCAAGCAGAAAGACTGATGGTATCTTAAGTAATGAAAAAGAAGCAGAAAAAATGTCTATAGATCTTATCTAACTCTCAAAACCCAAAAGAAACTACACATCACCTAAGCACTTAGTACAACTACCATTGGGGAGGAACAATATATATATAAGTAATTGATTCCAAATATTTAATACAAATTTATACATAAATACATATACACATAAACATATGTACATATAAAATCACAGTTAGATCATCTCAAAGCCAGTCTGATCAAAAGGTAATCTTTTATTTCTGGATTTTAAGTTAATAGATTTTAAAAAACACTTATCTGTTTCAGCATGTGTATATAGGGATACTACCTATTTCAAAGAGTTTCAAAGAGTTAAAGACAAACTACTCAAAAACAAATTCTAAGCCATGAATCACCATACATATGTTAGTTTACAGGTTCACAGCAGCATTTTTTATAACAGCCTAAAATTGTAAACAACCCAACTGTCCAACAAGTGATTCAGTAAACAAATTGTGGTACCTCCACTATTCAGCAAGAACAAGGAATCACTACTGGTATGTGCAACAATATGGGTGAATCTCAAAATAACTGAGTTTTATAAAGCCAGACCAAAAGAAAAGAAAAAAAAAGGTATATACTATATGACATTATTTATATAAAATTCTAGAAAATGCAAACTAATCTATGGTGAGAGAAAACACACTGTCCAGGAAGACAGGAAGGAGTGGGGCGTGAACAGCAGAAAGGAGAAATCCCCAAGGGGCACCAGGAAACTTTCAGGGTGATGAATATTCATTATCTTGAAGGTGCCAGTGGTTTCATGAGTGTATACATGTGTCAAATTTAGACTTTAAACGTGTGCAGTTGATTGTGTATCAATTATACATCAATAAAGCTGTGTTTTTAGAAGTTGAAGGTAATATATAGATTTGAATAGGCATCCGATTTGTCTGCTCTAGATAAAGAACATACAGATGATATTTTTCTTAAAAAAAAAAAAAACAACAACAACTTACTTTGCATTTCCAGCCATTGGTTGGTACTGATTTCATAACTGGTTGAAGACAAAAAGTATGATACCCTTTGTCACACGTATCACACACTAGCATCTTGCTATCTTCTCCCGATTGTCTAAAAAATAAGATAGCATTAATGATGCCTTATCTTTAAACTTATGTTTGTAACATAAGTAATCATGAAAAGAATAAGTCTTGGGAACTGCCCAGTTCATAAATACCCTCAGTGTCTGTTTTGCCTATGCACAGATAATGACAGCGTTAACCCTCTAGAGGATGAGACAGGCATCTTCCAAAGGTCCCTAAAGGATTATCCCTACTGAATGCTCACCTATGGGGAACCTGCTTTAGTCATTTCAGGATTCATGCAAAGAAGGAGGGGTTACGGCAAGATGAATGAATTTGATCTTTACTTTTTAAACATCTCATACCCATCCTTTTAGGGGGAAGGAGCTATAACTGATAGGTGATGCTGCACTGAAACAAACAAATCTTGGCACAGTGAATTGGAAGGCACTGTCATATGATAAAAAGAGGATCAAATTTGGCATCAGACCTACATTTGTGTTCAGACTTCTGTTTTTCTACCTGTGTGACTCCTGAGTAACTTAGACTTAAGTCCTCAGGTACAAAATGTGACTAATCGAAGATTACTGTAAGAATTAAATATAATTCTGGTTGAAGAGCTAAGAATATCCAATAAGCAATAAGTGCTAAATAAATAGGTATAAGAATTATAATCTTGTCATAATTATTAAGAATTGTAATAGAAAACCTAAAATCTTTCCCTAAACATTCTTCTGCCCCAAAGATTGGGCCCCTGTCCTGTCCATGATTTCTATCTTGATTCTTGGCTATTAATCGCTCTCAGTAACTAAGAATTTAATTCAAGAGGAGGGGAAAAGAAAAACTAGGGAATGCAAGAAGAAGAACTGAGAGAGGAACCGCTGAATAAAACCTGGGGATAAACAGAAGTAAAAAGGAAGATGGGTTAGTTGGCCTCCAATAATTCCTTATTTAACAAATTCTACATACAAAATTGTTTATTTTATCTCTTTAACTACATGAAAAGATCTTGGAGGAAAAGCACTCTGTCTTCAAGTTCTCTTATTCCTTCTCAAGAAACTAGGCACAGACACAAGGTATCAGATAAATGTTTACTGATATTTTCTTTAATTTTTACCAAAATATAAAGCCACATGGTCCTATTTATTCCACATAATTCTAAGATAGTGATGTTTATTGTTTTCAAATTAAATTACAAGTAAAACAAACAGATCGTGGCAGTGGTGGGCATCATTTCTCCCCATTACAAAAACCCTCAGCTTGTAAACTGCCGCAGATGCAGTAACACCCCCACATTATCATGCTAATTAGCAGCATGGGGGGTGGGGCAGAACCACAGAAGAGACTGGAGAAATGACTCAAAGATGGAATACAAGTAGAAAAACGTTTAAATGCCATACAATACTTCATCTGAGTATTATGGTGAAGGTAACTGCCTTTCAGATAGATACAGATTTTTTAAAAAACAGGAGACTTAGTACTGGAATAGAAAAATGAAACTTATGACATTCTTTGACTCACTCTAATAACTACTTTCTGTGGTTAGAGGTTTATTTTCCTATTAAATCTCCTCCCCAGCCTCCCTCAGGGAACAAAAACAAGCTGCTCTATTTTCTAATGCTTTTTAAATTTTTAACTGTTAATGTTGTTTATTTAAAAATAGTTGGCAAATTTAAATTAGCTTTTTAGGCAACCAGAGGAATTTTAATTATTAAAATTAGCTTTTATTTAGTCTTGCTTCAAAGTAATATAAATGTTAATATCTAGCAATTTTTTTAAGACATGATGGAGTCAGTGTGAATGAATACAGCTGCAGGATGAACAAGCTTTATCATATTACACAAACCTTTAGAACCTAATAATCGGGTCTCTCTTAAACTCAATACACACCTTGGAGTTGAAATTAAAACTTACTTGCAGTTCTGGCACACTTTGCACTCAGGACATTGCCAACCTGCACGTTTTAATGGAGTAACCGCTATATCCAGGCACATTCCATGATAGTGCTGACCACAAGTAGTACAAAAGAACTGATCTAAGAGGTCTCCCGGGCTGTCGCACACTGCACAGTTTGCATCTTCCTTTGCTATAATTAACAGTAAAACAATGAAATTGTTGTATAAGAATTTAATATTTTTCTGACTTTACAGTTTAAAAATCACTAGAAGGGAATTTGCATGGTAAATCTTTCAGACACTTGAAGTTACCACATTGAACTGATATCCAATCAGAATGAGGTCTCAATAAAAACACTGTAATATATTTAATCTAAATTTAATCACATTAAATTTAATCATGTAGTTTTGTGATTATCTGTGCCTACATCTCTACTTGAGGCCATGGCAGTTCTTATTTAATTTTATGTCCCTAACACCATCAGTAATACTGGGGACCTAGTTAATGTTCAGTATGTGTGCTTGCTGAATAGAACCAAAAAGGAAAATACCAACTGACAGACATTTTGCAGTGCAAAAATAAACATTTTTATTTGGATCTTAAATATGTTTTGAAATTAACAAAATCAGAGAAAAGACAAAAATTAAGAAATGTTAGTATGACTTAGATTAAGATGCTTCTTAAGCATAAACACTAATTTTTATTCAAATCAAATAAGGTTTTTAAAAAAACTGGAAAATATACGAGGGAGAACATTAAAGATGAAAGCTACATACTCATACACAAATACGACACTTCATGTACTAATTCTACATTCATCTGTATTAATTGCTAGTTGTAAAAAAGCATTAAAATCTGTATAATTATGGACATCATCTATCCCTAACTGTGAATTAGAAGGAATGGCACTTTTTAACAGTTCTCTCACCATCTAAAAGAAAAAGTAAATGTAAGAATAAACTGCCTTGCCAAGTACACAAACTCATGCACATTACAATATAATAAGGAAAAGAATATATTCTAAAATCATACCAACTTGATGATATATATAAATATGCCTATAACTAACACTTCTGCTTTCAACTAAATGGTCTGATTAGCTGACTATCCTAGGACTGTTTTAAATTGTATATATAAATTTTTTTCTTCATTGCATTTTGAAGGTTGGTCAGTCCTCTCTGACTATAAGCCCTTTCTACCTTTGTTCTTTCCCAGTCAAGAATCTTGAAACAGTAATAATTCCTCTTCCTTATACCAGGAGTTGGCAAACTGGTTTTGTGGGCCATAGATGTCTCTGGCATACATACTTTTTGTTTTTATTTTAGAGTCCTTTCAAAATGGTTTTTTTAAAAAACTCAACCACTTGCAGTTTGAGGGCAGTACAGAAATAGGCCATAAGATGTACCTGGACTGTAAGCTGGGCCCCTGATGGCTCCCCATCCACCCAGCATTCATCTGAAGCCACTTTAATGAGGCCCCCAATGAACTATGAATCCAACGGTTACTTTGTAGACCTTACCTTAATCGCACTTTGCAGCATCTACATCACTATAAAAAGTCCCACGTTCAATGTCCCTACCTTGACTTCTCTGATGGCAGCTTTCTCCTGCTTTCTCCTTAGGTTTCCTACGCCTCCCTCATCCTGCTGTGTTGGCTTCTGTACCCTCTAAATGCTGGAGTCTTTTAGGATTTCATCCTGGTCCTTCTTTTCTAATTCCCCATGGTTTTTCTTTGTGATCACAGCAACTCCTATATAATAAAATACCACCACAATTCCCAAATCTATATCACCAGCCCCAAACTTCTTTCTAAACCTCAAAATGTTATTTTCAAGTCTCAGTGGACCTCAATGGCCAGCTGTTCTAAAAATACTCAAAATTCAATACCCCTAACATAAAACTTTTTTTAAACCTAAACTTCTCCCTTTTTCCTCAACCTGCTGGGTGAAGAAACTTTAGTATCACTACTGACCCTTCTCTTTCCTGACCCAATACATCCCACTGGGTGCCAGTTCTCAGTGAGTGATCTTCTTCCTTCTATTTGTACAGCTCAGTGCATTACACTTGGTCTTGGTCATTGCAGTTCTCTTCTTAATTTGAATCCTTGCTTAGGGCTCTGACCTCCTCCTTAAATCATCTACACATCCAGAGCACTTTTCTAAAATTGTGGATCTGTTATGCCTGCTTAAAACTAAAATTTTATCAACACCTCCTTTTTACCTTAAAAAAAAAAAAAGAGAGGCAGGGGGAGCTTTATCTCCTTTTCCAGTTGAATCTCAGAACTACTCACTATTTCCGGGTCTTATCAAACAGTTTTGCTGTGCATAGAATACAACACGCTGTTCAACAGTTGTGTGCTTGTATACATTCTGTTCCCTCTTCTCGAAATTCTGTTCCTTTGATGTGCCCCTAACCCATTCCTAAGAGGCCTTCAAAACTCTTGCTCAAACATATTCCCTGACTATCTAATGTCACCACACCAAATACCCATTTAGTTGTTGACGCAGTGCCTTCCCCATACGCAGAGAAGAAACCATTATATAATCAATTAATTCTAACACAACACCGTGAACCCGTGAAGGGTAGTAACCTTGTCTTCTTCAACTCTGTATCCTCAGTTGCCTAGCACAAATCGAGTCTTATTAAATATACTTTAAGCAAAACAGTTGCTTCTAAAATCATTTTTAAGTAGCTCTTTAAATGAGAGGCACTTAAAATAAACCATTCGTTTTCAAAGGAAAATGTTACATTTAATTCATTCTTTATAGAAATGATAAAAAATAGAATTATTTTTCTTAATACTAGAAGAGAGTGCCATATTTACTCATTCAAGCTAAGTACATTTTAAAACTAATCTTTGATTTTTGCCTACCCTCAAAACTTACAGAAATTGAGGCAAATACTGGACTGAATCAGATACTCGGCTCACTCGGCTCACTTGGCTTTCTATTGCAGTTTGCCAAGAACGTTATCTAAATGCTATAACACTTTCTACGGTTTGCGGGACTGCCACTTCAACTTGCCACAGTAGCTTCTAGTCACATGTAGCTACTGAACAACCTGAAATCAGTCCACACTGAGATGTGTTGTACATATAAAATGCACTCAGGATTCCAAAGACTTAATAGGAAAAAAAGATACTAATGTCAAAATCTCAAAAATTTTATTACATATTGAAATAGTAACATTTCGGATATATTAGGTTAAATATATGTATTTATTTAAAATTAATTTCAAGATTTTTTACTTTTTAACATGACTACTAGAAAAAATAATATTACTTACATTGCTCACATCATATTTCTATTGCACAGCACTATTTATAAAGCAAAATTCATTCTGCAACAAGGTAACTGTGTGTATCACTGTGGCAGAGATTACTTTTTCTTCTATGACCATTTATACAATTCCTTAATAACAATGCTGTCATGTTGTTTAATTGGTATGAATCACTGGTAATAAACTGGGCAAAGCAAAGCATCCATGTGATATATTCATTCCAAAAACATTTACTATGCATTATGTAAAAATAATAATAGGAAAAAGTGGGTTCCAGCAATTTTCCCAATCAGGGAGAAGACACATGTAGAAATACTAAAACAGCCTTTTGGGGATCACGCATACAAAGATGGCATCACTGGATAGCTTAAGTGTCATGTCAGATATAAGTATATGTATATATACATACATATACGTTTGCAAGCCACAGAGGCATTAAAGTTGAAGCAATAATCAAACTAAGTGAAATTTTTCTTTAAGCAGTTGGGAAAGCAAAAGAGATTGAGTGAAAGACTAAAGCTAAAGACAATTTAAGAGAGTATGGGAGTAAAATCCAGGTTAATTTGCCTGCAAAGATCAGGCTCCTTACTACCAATGAAAATTGACGCCCACTGGAAGGGCAAAGGAGCTGAAGAATATCTAAAGCATGTACAAAAGTAGAAAGGGAAGGGCCAGCACAGGTATAAAATGGAGAAGTTAAATGATGAAGGGGGAGCAAGAAAAGAGTAGGAGAAACAGAAGAATAAGCTTCAGTCAGGTCACTTCCTAAGTAACAGCTGTGACAAGAGAAGAAATGGAGGAAAAGACAAAAACATGGAGCTTAAATTAGAAGGGAGCTTCTCACAGATGCTTAAACATGGTTGAGCTGGAAGGTGAGACTACTGCTTAAATAAGAATAGAAGCACTGGTGAAGAGCAACCAAGTCAAATTATCATCAGTCAATTCGGAAAGGACTAAATCAGCATGGCTCTGCAGCGTCCATCAACATTACAACACCCGTTATAGATGCTCCCTTTGCCGGTGGGACAATGTGCTGAGTGATTTATTTGCTATTCAAATGGAATCTCCAGAAAGAGCAAGTGAATCATGGATGCTGTCCAGAGAGGCTGGCCCATATAGTAGGCAGGAAGGTAAGAAAGAAGGGACTGACAGAATTTAAGGTGACGGAAAAGTAGCAGGACTTGGTTTCAAGAGAGACACGGACAACTAAGAAAATGAGGTAGGAGTTAAAGGCTTAGAAGCAGTAAAAGAAGTTAAAGCTCAGTGACAAAAGTAAATACGCTGGGAGAGGGGGAATGGGTTAAGAATACAGCATTCCCATGTTTAACCCTTGCCAAGCCTTCTCAGTGCAGACAGAATAAAATTCACATCCCTTCCCTTGTTTACGAGGCCTTCGTGATCTTGTCTTTGTTAGTCCTGCTGTGGGCTCTGCTATCCACCCAGCACACCCCATGTTCCAGGCACAGTGGCGAGCTGTCTCCCCCATAATCATGCCAACTCATCCCTCGAGGCCTGCGGAGTAGCTGTTCGCTCTGCCTGGAATGTCCTTGCCTCTGATCTTGCAAGGCTGGCTTTTTGCCACTCAGCTTTCCCTGAGAGGCAAAATACTACTCAGAAGTATATCTGGCTATGTCTCTTACATGGATATTTGGTGTAAGGTTTCCAGGCAAGGTTAGTGTGTACTTGCATCATGCTGAAAATAAGGTTGGCGCCATAAGCAGCATTTTTCTATGACAGAGCACCCCAAAATTATTATCTGATGAAAATCTTGGCCGTGCTCACAGCTGCTCTCCTTGCTGGGATTTTTTTCTAACGAGGTCCTTCATAAAGAGATGTCAATCTTACTCCTAACTCATTTCACCATCACAGCATATTGCTCAACACTTAGCCAGCAGCATGAAGTATTATACTCAGTATGTACATGTAACTTGAGCCTTAAATAAGAGCTAAAATAACCACCTTGTAGTGAAGCAATTCATGTATATAAGGTACAATGCTACATGATTTTCATTAATTCTCATTTAACCCTCATAATAACACTGTCATTTAAGATATCCCCATTTTTAAAAAAAAAAGTTAAGTGCCTTGTGCTATTATACACAATTAGGACAGCTAAAAATACTTACGGAAGATTTTATAAGACTACTGCATAGTCTTGTATGTTATTGCAATACATTCTATCTGCCATGTTCTCTATACCTTTGGGTTAAAACAGATGGTCAGAAAGCTGTGTATTTAGACTGCATTATTTAAGATCCCCAAGGAATAGAATTTACTCAATTGGGCTTTGGTGTTATATCACTGATGTGAGGGCTGTTAAAAGAAATTGCCCTGTGAGATTTGTTTTTTATACTGCAAGACAGCTACCTGAAGACAATTTTTCACTGCCATCTGCAGGGCATATATAATCTCAGCATCAGGTGGATTTCTGTTGTGACTACAAATGTTCATATTCCCTTTTTCATGCTGACTGCTGGAAAGCTCTGGAGCCAGACCTGAGCTCAGGTCTAGGAACTCTGCATTTATTGTGTTTCAGTCTCTCACCTTCACATTTTTCACCTGATTTTCTCATGGCCAAATTTTCTTACTTATTTTGACTTTTATTTTATCTGACTGTTCATTTATTTTTATGAGCCTCCGTAGGTCTATTCTGGAACAAGGCAAGCTACCAATAATTTCAGTATATCTTTTACCTTTGTGTTGCTAAATCATCTCACCTACACTTCATTATTTTCCAAAACGATTTATAATCCCTAACATATAAATGAGGTATATATACTATTAGAACACAGTCCTCAATAGAAAGTAGTACTGCCAATAAGTAATAAAATTTCTCACATTAGAAACAGAGTCATAGAGAAGTTTGCATGTTGTTTACTGAGGCCTAAAGTACAAAAGACTGAATAAAATTCAGATTCTTAAGCACAATCACAGTTGTTCTATTCTATTGGAAAAGCGTATTATACCACCCAGAAAATAATAATTCTGATGACTGACATGGTAATCTGTGCACGTATTGAAGTAATTCACTATATGAGGTCTTAAATCACTCATTACAGTTGCTGTGTATGAATGTTCTTTTTTCCCAGATTTAATAGTGTGTAATCCAAAATACTTTTAAAACTTTAAATCCCTTATTAGCCTAAATACAATTTGACGTTTCAGTTTGCCTTACCTATAATTGTTGTCTCTACAGTGATTAAGGGCAGTATGATTATACATGTAGACATAAAATAACTTTAACTGAAGATGAAAGCATGGCACTGAACAAAGAAAAAATAATGACTATGAAATCTCTGTTTGAGATTAGTTTAAGCCTGAGGTAGCTGTATTTTTATGTTTTACAAAGCTGGAAAAGATAAGAAAAAGGCCTTTTATCGACATTACTAAGAAACAGGTAAAAGCTAACAATTAGGCAACTAAGAGATGACATTAAAAAAGACTGAATAAAGGGTCACAGATTTCACAGTCAGATTGGAAATTCAATTTACTATAGAAAAAAGATCACAAATTATGCATGTTCACTGGAATTCCATACAGTAAGAAAAAAGTAAGATCTCTAATGATAAGGATAGGAAAGAGTTATAATTTTCTGTATAACATAAATTTCAAACATTTAAACATTTTCATCTAATTATAAAATACGGTTTGGAAAAGAAAGAAAAAAGGCACAACTAAGGATTATAAATAACCAAGATAGATGGATCAAGAAGAAGCACTAACAGAGATTTCTGTTATGACTATCAGGACTATACACTTTCCAAGATTTTCAAAGTTTTTGGTAATCCTGTTAATGAACATCCTGACATAACACCTGAGTAAAAAATCTAAATCTCCAAGTGGGTAGTTCCTTAGTGTAAAAGACATTGTTTAATTTTTTAAATGACCTACTTTATAATATATATTAAAATACCAAATACTCAGCATATCTGTCTTTCTATAGTAGTTAATTTTTCTTAATAAGAATAAAAAACATGTAAATTATCTTTGAACTTTTGAGGAAATACCTCTTTGGATTTAACTTCATTGGTATTTTGATAACAGATTCCTTTCCCCCTCCCAAGGATCTCTGGCAAAGATCCCTCAGATTATCAAGATTATGTAATATTGCCTTTTAATACAAGTAGAATAACACTTAGGGAACTTACAGCATTTATTACTTTAAGTAAATACACTGATTAATGTTTTCAGATGTGTCTACAGTAAACTTACATCTTTCAGGAGCTTGGTCAATGTGTTCTGGACAAAGAAGGAAGAAGTGGCTGAAATCCTGGAAGGTGCCGGCTCCAGCAGCACAAGGGTAATGGTATGTCTGGGTACACTTCTCTTCACAGCATTTGATAGTGGCTCCAAGGTGCTTACAAAATGCACATCGCTGAAAGGGAGCAAAGGATAAAGAAATCTCTTTACAAAACCTAGGAAGACATTAGCAAGTCGGTGTACACTACTGGCAGAACCACCTGAGCCTGAAGAACACTAAACAAAGGGTCACTGAAGAGAGAAAGTCTATGGTCTCAGTTCTATGCTTGGTTGTATCAGAGTCATCCACTTCACTTTTTTCTCTACTGACGTTGGGGAATATGTACAACTACCATTTTAAAAAAATTAATAATATGGTTAAAAGGGCAGGCTTCTTGTTGAGGGTTATTTTAACAGGTGATTAAATCCCACCAAGACACAGACAAAATGAGTATATACTATTTCCAAAACCACTTACTAGTTATAACCTGCCTAAAAATCAATGTGAAGTAAAGTACTTGATTGTAGGATAAATGAATGACTGGTAATTACATGGTTAAAGGCACACATACAAATCTACACACTTCACTGTAACAATTAATTTCAAGTGTCTTAATAAAAACTAGAAACGTGAAGAAAAATTAAGTCATCTGACGTTCTCCTTCCCCCATTTCAATCTGCCTCAACTCTCTTACAAGTGGCAAAATCAAAGAAGATTCAAACCAGCAACAGGGGAAGTCTAGGGTACCTGAATGTGTAAGAATTACCTACAGTACCAAATTTACTTACTCGGCTTTCCCTAGAATGATTAATAAACTTCCTCATCCTCCCAAGCCCACTTTGGGCATCGTTTTCTTTGAGGAGCCTTTGCTGGGAGGCCTCCATCTTACAGTATAAAATCTCTCTCTCTGTGGAGGAGATCCCGAGCTGCCTGGCTTGCACACGCTTCTGTTTTAGCATTTATGCTATTGCACAGTAATGACTTATCAGTCTTCTTTTCATCCTGGCCCAAGATCCTTGAGTAGAGACAACAGATTGTACTACCTTTGTACCTGCAGCACCATAGATGATGCTTGACACAGAAAAGCCCTAATCAACAGGTGCTCATATTTATACGTACCAAATGAACTTCACTTTGGTAATTTCACTGTAAGTGTGTGGCTCATGAATAGCAGAGCTGAAACAACTGATGCCAAAAGGGACAAGATGTGGTAAAACTGAGCCTCATGTAACAGAGAAAGTTGCTAACATTACTACAAATATCTTCACGTGCTAATATACTGATTCCATATTCTGCTAGTCAATTAGAGAATATAATAGTTTTTAAATTATAATTAATTTCAATGTTTTACACGTAAATCTACGTAAGATATCACATGCCATCAAACTCTTCCTCAAAACCATCAGTCCACTGTACTGAACCAATGTAAGGAACCTGAGTGTCTCTTGGTGCGTCTTCTACACATTTTGGCTGCAGTCAAGAAGACGACATAGGGGAGTTCCAGCCAAGATGGTGCAGCAGCAGGACCACGAGCTCGCCCCATGTCACAACTACAACAAAACCACAACTGACAGCTAAACAACCATCAGGAAAAAAAGACTGGAACCTAGCAAAGACCTTCTTCAACTAGAAACATAAAACCACAGTGGGACAGTATGAAGGGCGTGCTCGCAGTATTACCAGGCCCCATAAATCCCAGGGGGGTGACCCACAAGCCGGAGAATAAACTGCAGAGGCCCACCCACAGAGGTGAGAGTTCTTAGCCCCACGTCAGGCTCCCCAGACCGAGTTCTGGTACCGGGAGGAGGAGGAGACCCCAGGACATCTGGTTTTGAAGGCGAGCGGGGCTTAGCTCCAGGAGCCCCACGGGACTCAGGGAAACAGACTTCACTCCCTTGGGAAGAGCATACAGAATTTCGTGAGCGCCAGGTCCAAGGGCAGAGGCAGTGACTTCATAGGAACGTGGGCCAGCCCTGCCTGCTGGTTTTGGAAGGTTTCCTGGGGAGAT